GATGCTGGACTCGGACATAAGAAGAGTTTTTCTGGATCAGGCGAGTGGCCCAGCTAGTCCAGGATGTCGGGCTTTGGCCAGTTATATTCTGCAGTGGCGCAGGCCTGTGGTGTGTGTTTTCTGCCGCTGTGCAATGTGCGAAACGAACCACACAGGACAGACGGTGCAGGCGAGACGTCTGAGTGAGGGAATCTGGAATGATCCCTGCAGAAAGGATAAGTTATTCATCAACAGCAGAGGTCAACTTTGGGCCAGCAGAGCTGGGTGGAAAGATGACACTGATGTGGGATTGGGGGTGGGGGGTGGGGAGTCAAAAGCTTGTATTCCACTGTGTTGACCCGTTGAAATTAATGAACCTTAGTTAGATACAACCAGGGCTTTCTTTCGGCCGGAAATCGACAAAGCTCAGTTCTGGCACCTCTGAAGTGGAGGCATTCATGGTGAGTTCCGGCAACTCTTCAACGTCACCCATCAACTTTAGTGGGTCTTCTCTGAGTAGAACTAGCATTGGATGCAACCCTGAATCTTTTGTCTTTTGGTGGACCTGGCTGAGAAAAAGCCAGTTAGGAAGAGCTGAGGTCCCAGGTAATTTTGGAGCAAGCAAACAGAGGTCATAGTCCAATGGGGTTGCAGGTGAGAATGCTCCTATTTCTAGAGTTAGATGTAATCTGGCCTTCAAGAAGAGGCAATGTTGTGTAGTGTCGCATTCAAAGTGTTGGACTATGACAGGAGTGGAGAACCTCAGGCTGTCTTCCTTGCCTCTGGATTTTGCGTGGCTGAAATGGAGCCTGTTGCAGAAAGTTAAGAGTCACGGCCATAGCTCTGCCCACTTTTGGCCTTGCCTCCACACACTGTTGCCTCTGTCCCCACTTGCCGCTAGAAGGCATGCAGGCCTCAGACTGGAAGAAGAAAAAGGCTCCCCATCACTGTTTGGCAGGGGACATATCATTGCAATTCCACGTGTTTTCCCAACCCTATTGCAACCTGGCATCTCACTGAGGTTTCTGAACATCTCCTTGCAGTCAGAGAATGCGAAATGTTCCTAGTATGATTGGCTTGGGAGAGGGAAGGTTGAGATACAGGCTGAGGATGTTTTGAGCTTCAAAGGGAATCCCAACGGTTTGGGATGACGCTGTTTGTAGAGGCTCTCCCTGTCCTTAGGGGATCTCACAGGAAAAGCAACCCTGGCTTGGAGCTTGTTTCTTGGACAGAAAGGGAGGAAGGAAGGCCTCGTCCGCAAAGGATGTTTGCAGAGGGCAAAAGGGGCTGCAAGGAATCTCAAAATGCTCTTGAAAGTCGCCTCCCCACCAAGAATCTGGGGCGCAGAGCTGGTCTCTACCACCACCAAGTGGCGGTGTCGTGAACGTTCCTTTTCATTATCCCTTCCATAAGATGGTTGTCCCTTTCTCTCAAAAAAACAAACAAACCCCTTCCCTTCCCTTCTCTTCTACTTCTGGTTCCCCTTTTGCTCTTCCTCCTACTCTGATTGGTATTTCCCCCACAAAACTGGGTTTCCTGGGCTTGTAGCCAACTCGGTTCCGCTTGGAGAAAACCCATTGAAATGAACTACTCTAACGTAGTCAAGGGCCCTACTCTGAGTAGGACTAGCCCTGGATTGAACCCACGGTCTCCCAAAGTCATTGAACAGTGAGCTGTGCGAGGTTGCCAAATTTCTAACCAGCCGCTGCTCCTCTGCCCCTAAGCGGAACCCTACCTTGAGTGCAACACAACCCAGGCATTTAGCAGGCAAGGCTTTCTCTGCGATAGGAAAGGAATAGGAAACATCCCTGTGTGTCAAGCCTTATGTTTTAAGCCCAGTAAAAGAGAAAAAGTCAACTTGGAGGCAAAGGATAAATTTTTGGGGGGTGGGGAGCAGGGAAGCTTTGAGAGAAGCAGAGAGACTGGATGCAAATGCTGGAAACTATAATCTCTCTCTCCCCACCCCCCCTCTGGCCCACCCCTAACCACAATTCACCTTGCAGGCGGCATTGGGGAAGGAGAGATCTGTGGAAGTGTCATGGCAACGGGGTGTCACAGGGGCGGGCACACAAGTGCCGGGGGATTGTGTGAAAACAAACGGCATCTTGCTATTTTGCTACTGAATTGTTAATAATGGGAAGTGTGGCATGGCGGCGGGGGGGTGATGGGTGAGCTTGGAGTCTGAGCCCAGAGTTGCAGTCTCCTCTGGAATTGAGAGACAGGCAGAGAAAGAGGGTGAAGATCTCCCCTCTCCCTGCTGTTTTGCTCACCCCCACAGGTTGATAGTGAGGAACCTAGGGAGCTGCCTTATACCATTCACGCCATTGGTGCATCTAGTACTGTCTACTCTGACTGGCAGAAGCTCTCCAGGGTTTCAGGCCTGGATCTTTGCCCCAGCCCTACCTGGAGACGCAAGGGATCGAACCTGGAACCTTCTGCATGCAAGGCAGACTGCTGTACCACTAAGCTATGGTCCTTGTTCGCGTTGTGCAGGTCTGCCCTGGTGGGAGATGGGCTCCTTTGCTCGGTCCCTGGCAGCACCGTCCTTACAACTGCAATGGAAAGCTTGCTCGGTCCTTTGGAGTGCTCTGTTTGGGGGGATCCACCCACTCCCCACAAATGTTCCCTGTCTAGGGCTCTTGGGAGTGCAGGACTGAATTTGCTACGCCCAACTCACATGGTGCAATAGAGAGGAGAGAGGACTTCTGAGCAGATTGCAGAGTCCACCAACGAGCAATCGCAGCCCCATGTGGTGGGATCTGGAGGGCAAGGTTTCTAGACTGGAACATGCAGTGAAAACAACTTGATGGTTTTTTTGGGGGGAGATGAGAAAATATACTGGTGGGGTTGACAGATGCAGGTGAGCCTAGGGTTTGTGGGGAGGGGGTGGGGAGGCTTTTCAGCTGTAGGATTCTGGCAAGCATCTTAAATTTGGATGCACCAAACAAGATACAATGGTCCCCCTCTCTCTGTCCTTCCTTCGTTCTTTCTTTCCTTCTTTCTCTCTCTTTCCATCCAGCATTTGCTTGGGCTAATATGCAGCAACGATAATGCCTTTGGCTCAAAGCCAGGCACCTAACCCCAACTTCACCCCCGCCCTGTTCTGAGTTCTTGCATGACCTTGGCCGGTCTACCTTCTCGCACTCATTTTTCCATTTCGTGGAGGAAGAAAAAAATACTTCCTCTATTGTGAAGAGAGAGAAGATGGGATGGGAATTGGTGCTTCGGTGTGAAATGGATGACATCGTGTGCCGTGGAGGTTTGTAAGTTTGCGAGCAGTGGGAGAGGGTTGCAGATAGGAAACCATTCCCTTCCCTCCGGAAGAACTCAGGGTCAACATAGTGAAACTGGCAGCGTCATAAATTTGTGAGAAGCCCCTGCTTCTCATGAGGTGTCATTAACTTAGGGAGTTTGCTCTCCCCCACCTCAGCCCGGATGCAAAGGTGACCACTGTCTTGGCACCAGTGGTTTTGGCCAGTCAACTCCATGGAGGGATGTAGGACTCGGCAGCAAAAAAAAATGAAGCCTCCATATACACACGCAGTCTACCCCTGAGTGCCGGATTTTACAAAATCAGTAAATAAAAAGGTGTAAGCGAAACCTGGATAGCTCATACAGGTTGAGGGGCTTTCTCTCTTGGTGCAGATATGGGGTTAACTTGGTGCAGATTATCATTATTTAAATAAATGCAACACATCCCTGCTGAATACAGTAGGTGCCCTGATGGAACTTCCTTTCAGTGCTGGTTTATGGATTGCATCACATTAATATTTTCCAAAGCCTCTCGCAAATTTTTAGGATGAGCTAGGAGAGGACGTAATACCACATCCTACCACATGGGTGTCTGGCTCACACAATCTCTCTTCCCCAATTTTCAAAGAGGAATAATGGCATGATTTGGACATCTGTGGGGCAAAGCCACATCTAATGAAATGTTACCTTTCTGAGAAAGAATGGGGGGTCTCTTTGGGGGGAAGAGTGTAGTGGGGGAGGGTGCCTCTCTTTTCACCTTTTCAGGTGTGCCTGCTGTTTATCCCTGAAAAGCTCACACACAGGGGTCTTATTCCAGGCAAGCTCTAGAGACCAGAGCTGATTCCCAAGTTGGGTGCCCATTGAGCTGAAGCAAATAGTCACAGATAGGAATCCACCCACCCACCCAAAACCAAAATGGACAACATGTTGGAATTTGCCGTTTTGCAAATAGCTGCTCTTCTTTGAAAGATTTTTTAAAATAATAATAATAAAGATACCAATAACCTTACTGTTTTATTCTCTTTGTAAACTGCTTTGAGGTTTTCTTCAACCCAGCGGTATATAAATTTTAAATGCATAAACTGCCTGCAAAATTGCAAACTCGAAGCAAGAATCATTCAAAGTTGCATTGCAAATAGGATGCTGCGTTTTTAGGGCTCGGCGGCTTCTACCCACCTGCCTCAATTTTTCATGGGATCTTAACATCTCCAAGCGGGAAACTTTATCAAACACGTACCAAACAGCAACAGAAGCCCGATGATCACCCACTGTCAAATATTCTGCGAATATTCGGCAGATGTGCTTTGAGTGCTCAGGATAGGGGTGGAAAAAAATGTGGGGTGGAATTCTGAAGGGAAATTTGAGGAGCACGGTATCTTCAGCTCTGGTTCCCAACACCTAAAGATGTTTCCCTGGGGTGGGATGGGTGCATGCAGTTGGCATTTAAGAGCTCCTGGCTCTGACAGGAACATGGAGTCAGGATGTTCCGATGTGCTGGGCTGATGCATGATGCTAACTTGCTTGCGCTGACAGAAGCGGACTTTGAGGCTTAATCCGACGCACAGAGGCTGAGCGGAGGGCCTCCATAGGTAGCCACCCCCCTCCCCTGACTTTTCCCTCCCTTTTCCCTTCTCCTCATCTCCCCACCCCCCACCCTCCCCGATATATATTTTTTTTGAATTTGCTTTCTTTAAATTCTTAAAGCATGGTGTGGCTGTTCCTCACAGACTGACGCTTGTTCCCCCTTCCATCTGTCTTTTCCTACCCAGAATTCCCCTACACCCCGTCTCCACCGGGCACATCCGTGGCGCAGTCGACCATCCCCACCGCTGTGATTGGGGGCGTGGTGGGCGGAGTCTCCCTGGTCGTGGTGCTGGCCGTGGTGGTTTTTGTCGTGCTCCGCCACCGGCGCCACACCTTCAAGGGCGACTACAGCACCAAGAAGCACGTCTACGGCAACGGCTACAGCAAAGCCGGCATCCCACAGCACCACCCGCCCATGGCACAGAACCTCCAGTACCCCGACGACTCGGACGACGAGAAGAAGGCCAGCCCGCTGGGGGGGCACAGCTACGAGGACGAGGAGGAGGACGGCGCCGGAGGGGACCGCAAGCTGGGCGGGGGGCCCCCCGGCAAGTACGAAGACGACTCCAAGCGGCCTTACTTCACGGTGGACGAGGGCGAGGCCCGCTCGGAGGCCTACGACGAGAGGACACTCGGTTTCCAGTACGACCCCGAGCAGCTGGACATAGCCGATAACATGGTCTCTCAGAACGACGGGTCTTTTATTTCCAAAAAGGAGTGGTATGTTTAGCTCGCTCCAGCCAACCCCCCCTTCTCTTGCCTCCTCGCACTCGCCACGCGCTGCCTCCGAGCCCCAGGGCCACACCAGCTGTCACGCACAGCCCCTGCGTGCCCTCTTTACGCACGAGCCCATGCGCGCACACACACACAACACACATCGACCTGGGCAGGGCGCATAGTGTGACAGAGACTCTCTGTTTTTTTGTTTTCTTTTCCTTTAATGAACTGCTGCTGGTTCAGAGGCAACCAGGACAAGGCGAGGCAGGAGGGGGCTGGTTGTTCGTTTTATCCATTTTTGCTTTTGTTGTTGGGGGGGGGAGGGAGGGGTTTGGGAGAGGGGGGAACATTTCTCCTTCCCTGCCCCCCCCCCACTCCCTTAAGTCCTCCACCAGATCTTTGTTCCCTAAAGTGTTGTTTCTGTGGCTTTGGTGTTAAGATTCCTTTCCTTTTAATGACTACTGCCCACCCTTGTATAGTATACTGAACCCTCCTCCCCCCCCCCGAAAAACCCCTTCTGTTTGTAGTCTTAAGGTGTCTCTTTGTTAATATTTGGGTTTCCCCTCTTGATGCCCCCCTCCCCCTCAACACAAAAAAACACTGGAACTTGTATGTTGTCTTAACGTTGTACGGGGGACGGGGGCCTAAATCACACACCAATGAATTTTTTGGACTGGGAGGGGGGCCACAAAGACAGAAAGCACAAAAAGCTCAGATGGTCTGGGGCAAAGGCATCTCCACCCTCAGCTGAGCTTGTATATCTGTATCTGTATATTCGTTTGAGCTCCTGTTGCCGTTTCCCACAATGCACTTGTGGTGGGGAGGCGAAATCCACCAGCCTTGTGTGTGTGTGTGTGTGTTTTTAGGAAACATAACAAATGACTTGATCATCAAAAGAACAACCGTGAAAGTACAACAGGAAACTGCATGATATCCAGGAGGGCAAGTGTAGCAATTTTCCTCCTGTGTTCTCGCTTTGCTTTTTAACGATTATTGTTATTTTCAGTCAGAGGGGTGGAGCGTCCGAGGGCCGTAGCTCAATGGCAGAGCACTGCTTTGCATGCAGAAGGTCCCGAGTTCAGATCCCGATAACACCTCCCAAATAGATCCCTGCCTAAAATCCCGGAGAGCTGCTGCCAATCAGTGCAGACAGTACTGAACTAGATGGACAAACAGTGGTCTGGCTCAGTATAAGGCAAGCTTCCTATCTTCCTAAGTTTCCCACAATGGGCATGCCTCGTGAGGCTTTTGGTACGTGTTCAGAAAACTATGTGTGTTATCAAAATTTGCTCCCCCCCCCCCACACACACATAGATAAACAAGGAAGGGGTACCACAGAGTCAAATTGGGCCCAACGTAGAGGTTGCCAATGGGCCATTCGGCTCCCGTGGCTCTCTCTGCTAACTCCTGCCAACCTCCTGCTCCAGGTTGGCTGTGCAGAGCGATTCCCTTCCCACGTGCTCAGTGTTACTTGAAGGCTGCAGGGGACAGGCCACAGCTCGGTGCTCAAAGGTGGGCTTGCATGCAAGAGGTCCCAGCTTCGATCCCCAATGGCATCTCCAGGTAGGGCTGGAAGAGAACCCTGCCTGAAATCCCAGAGACCCTCTGCCAGTCAGTGGAGACAGTACTGAGGAAGATGGACTCCATAGGGGATGCAGGTGGCGCTGTGGTCTAAACCACTGAGCCTCTTGGACTTGCCAGTCAGAAGGTCGGCGGTTCGAATCCCTGCGATGAGTGAGCTCCCGTTGCTCTGCCCCAGCTCCTGCCAACCTAGCAGTTTGAAAGCACACCAGTGCAAGTAGATAAAAAGGTACCACTGTGGCGGGAAAGAAAATGGCGTTTCCGTGCACTCTGGCTTCCGTCACAGTGTCCTGTTGCGCCAGAACATGACCCGGAAAGCTGCCTGTGGACAAACGCCGGCTCCCTCGGCCTGAAAGCGAGATGAGTGCCACAACCCCATAGTCGCCTTTGACTGGACTTAACCGTCCAGGGGTCCTTTACCTTTTTTACCTTAGAGAGACTCCATATAAGGCAGCTTCCTGAGCCCTGGCTTAGTCAAAGGGCAACGTCCCACATTCCCAAGTGTTGCTCTATGAAGGAGGAAGAAATCTCCAAGGGCTGGATCAGTCAAGATGTTGCCTCCTCCACAGGATCAGTCCTTGCTTGACCATGCATTCACACCCATCATTGCTTGCAGGGAATGGAAGTGGGTGTGCCGATAGCGTTTATTTAAATATTGGGGACTTGGCAGGCAGCAGCCATTGCCACAAGGAGGAGGTTAACATTTTCAGCGGCTGCTCACTGTGTGCATAGCTTTCATTCCCATGGCTCATTGATCGCTGGAGGCTTCTCTCAGACTGAGCACAGGGGACTTCTGCCATGTGACATCTTTCAGGGTAACGTAGGGACGAAAGACCCCCTCCTTCTGTTGCATGTCTTGAGGGAAGGCAGAAGCAGGACATGTATGCCGCAGGGGAAATGGATTCCAAAATTTTCTGCATCTGGGAGGCCGAAATTCCGCAACCTGAATAAACTACACATTTGTTTGCATTGATATGACTAGATGTGCATCATTTTCTCCTATGTTGAGAGTTGAGTTTTCAAATAATCTGGATGGTGGGAAGGGGCGTCATTTGCTTTTTTCAAGAAAGGGGTGAGGAACAGAGGAAAAACACAGAGGTGTTTTTACAGGCAGTAATGAGGTCTGGAAACTTGAGCCCCTCTCAGATGTCCCATATCCATGGATACTGGATATGCATAGATCAGAGGTGGATCTTGTGCTTAGGCACCCCAACCTGTGCACATTCAGTGTCCGCAGTGTTTTCTTTTAGTGAAATCTGATACATCCAAGATCCCAAACATCCCTCCAGATGGCTTCAAGACCATGGCCATGTGGAATGCACAGAGAGATCTGTACGTAAGCTGTTGGCTCCTTGTAAGAGAAAATGAGAAAGGTTTTGAACAAAGAAAAAGCAAGTCCTGATCTAAATATTGCATCTGTGTCTTCAATAGCCACAGGGCACAGAGCAGTTTGTCAAAGGCTGTAGCAAAAACAGAGGCAGCATCTGCTGCATTCCTCTTGGAGGGATCTACTCTGCAGGCTTCAGCAGTCATCCGCTCTCCCCAGAGAGCCCTGGAAACTGTAGAGCATGTTCAACACAGTCAAAACTACAGTGCCCAGGATTCTTTGGGAGGAAGTTATGCTAGCTAAACTATGCTATATGTTTAAAGCAATACCATACCACTTTAAACAGCCATGGCCTACCCCAAACAAAGAATCCTGGGAAGTGAAGTTCATTAAGAATCCTGGGACTTGTCAGGCGGCCCCTGTTCTCCTCGCAGAACTACAATTCCCAGAGTTCTCATGGAAGAGGGATCAGTTGTTAAACCCCTCTGAGAAGTGCAACTCTGTGGAGGGAATAGAGGTCTCTTAACAATGCTCAGCACCCTTAAATTATGTGCCACAGTTGTGGTATGATAATGCTTTAGATGCATAATGCAGATGGGACTTTATATACGCTGTTTTGATCCTGGACACATCTGATCTATAGACATATGATGGCCAATATCACAGACAAACCTATCCTCTATTTGAAAAGCCTCTCTCCAATTGCCCATGTAATGAGTCAATTTGGAGTCCAACGCCCAAGACAGATTTCCTGTATGTACATCTATGCACTTGTTCTTCTTAATCTGCCATGGAATGGGAAGGCAAAGCAACCACCAGCCTTCGTACCGTGCCTGCTGAAGCGAGCAGGACTCCATGTTTGCAGCAGATACCACTTCCATATAGACATACGACAGCACCCAACTGGAGCTTCCAGGCCACGCTTGCGAGACGAAAAAGGCGGGTGTTAATTTGGCACGCAGGAGAATGCGCGGGTGCCGCGTCGCTGTTTGCGCAGCATCGATAATCTGTGTAGGAAATTCAGCATGTATTAAGCGGCCCTGAATTGGATGCAAGGCCCCCGCGGGACCCTAATTAGCAAGGCTAAATGATTCACAGTTAATCCATAGCGTGAAATAAGATGCCTGTAAAAGGAAAAAAACAGAACAAAAAATTATGGATCAAGGCTTTTGTCAGTGCCAGGCCTCTGATAACACTAGGAGCATCCGTTGCTGCAGCTGTAGGTATCTGGAGATTCATGTTGCCATCATCCCTGGCCAGTGGCTATGCTTTCTGGAGATGACAGTGGGTCACCCAGTGACCTTTGGGGACTCATAGTTGGGAACAACTGCAGTATAGACCCATAGATGGATAGAAGCATCAGGTGGTTTTGTCGAGATACAGGATTTCTGCTTTTCTCCACCAGCACCCCACCAAGAACCAGGAACCACCAGTAATCCTAGGAAAGTGTGTGTCTCTTGAAATGCAAGCAGCTATTGAGCATGGGCTCTGTTTTCCTCGCTTTCCTTGAATTTTGTTTTAGGCAAAGGTTTAGGCAAAGGTGGAAAGTCCATATTTGAAGTATTCAGAAATCTTCTGAAACTGCTTTAGGCTACTTTTATCATTTCTGAGCATGTGTTGTTTGAACAGGACACAGACTGCAAACCTACTCAAATTTCTTTTCTTTCCCCCCAAAATTTGGTGGCAATGTAAATTTAAAAATTAAAAGAAGCCGGAGGATGGGTTGGTTAGAAAGCTAACCTGCTTAATGCATAAGGGGATGCCCTGTTAACTCTTGATTCACCTCCATTACACCAAGTCCTGAAGAGCGCAGCTCATAGCGGCCTTGCCAGGAATCACCAAGACTAGAACCAGTGTTATTTTTCTTGAAAAAGAGGTGCCAGAACTCACCACAAATGCCTCACTTGTTCTCTTATAATGGCAATGGCACCCATCTGAGAGGTGCCAGAACTAAGTTCCAGTTGAAAAAAATTCTTACTAGAACCGTAGGCAGTTTTGGGTTCCACTGCTTTTTCTGGTGAGCCACCTGAGGCAGAAAGAGGGAGGAAGGAAGGAAAAGGCTGAGTTGGGGCTTGAGCATAAAAGGGGGGGAAAGAACTTTAACATGACAACCATCATGCTTTCTCTCCCAGAAGCCCCTTTAGAGTGAGGGCAAGAAGGATTGCCCACAATCTGGCTTCTGATCGATGCCCATGGTGATATAGCATAGTTCTGAAGCCAGTTCAGAATGAGGACAATGCTTCCTGTCTTCACTATTCACTCTTAACCAACTTATGAGAGTAAAACAGTGTTACATCTACTGCAAAATAAGTGGCAGCAATGAAAGGAGAAGGACTGGGGCAGTTTGGGGAAGTGTAAAACAAAAAACCAAACCATAAGTTCAGCTATAGTTTTCTTCTAGGTATCAGCATATCTTCACCCCCACACCTAGTGTATTGGCTGTGCGTGGCCCAACATCAGGGCCACATTCTGTCCTTGTTAATAAGGATCTCCGAGCACATTCTGAGCCCCCCAATTTTCCCATTTATTGCCTCCACCTCTCTTCTCAGTCCACTTTGCTGCCAGTTTGGAGATCAGCTTGTACTGAAACTTCTGGCGTGATGGAGAGGTCCCGCAGGCCCAATAGAGAAGCCCCTTAAGCTGCAGACTGGGAGTTCCTCGCTCCTATTGTACTTCTTAGAGTGTTACATCTTGTATCAGGCTCTCCAGCCGCTGAGCCAGACTGTAGGTGTTGAGGTGGCCATTTTGTATGCTAGTGGGGTGCATAGCACAAGCCGTGTTACAGAAGGAAGACACAGTAGTTTCTGTTTGGTTCAGAGACTTGGAGGTTGCACAGTAAAGCGGTTGTGAGGAATCCTTTGGCCCTCCAGATGTTGCTGGGCTAAAAGTCCCATCAGTCCCATCCATTGTCCATGCTTACTGGGGCTGATGGGAGTTGTGGTTCAGCAACATCTGGAAAGCACCAAGTTGGCAGAGACTGCTAGAGACCCAACATCCTGTTCCCAACAGCAGGCAGCCAGCTGCTGCCTGAAATTGCACAGCCATGGCACAAAAGCAGCAGCCCCTATCCTGTTGTATGCAACATCTGGTTCTCAGGGGTAGACTGCCCCTGACCTGGAGGTTCCATTTAACTTTTATGGCTAATAGTCTATTGTTAGAACCACTCCCCATATTTTCTCGATCCCTTGCCCATTTCATTAATGTGAGGTTGATCCCAAAGATGTGCAGTGGGGTGGTAGGAGAACAGTGCTTCTTATCTCTGTCACCCCCATTTCTGGACACCCAGCAAAAAAGGTGGGAGGAAGAAATCTGCGTTATCGGCCAAATTAAATCCGTTTGAAATAGAACATGGCAGGTGTTTTTCTGATGGGATTTATGTCTGGGATTACCCATCTCAATTT